TTGGACACAGCCCACAATTCAGTTCTTCACATTTCTGCACTAGTGTTCTCTCTCTCCCTCCCCACCCCACTATATAAATTCACACTTACTTCTTTATTTTCTGGCCCCTCCATTCAGTGTTATAACAAAGACAATATTGCCTCTGTCTAGAAGAACCTGAAGGAAAAGCCGCTTGGTTTTTAATGCTCAGAGGGGTGGGAAGCACTCCTCACCCAAGAAAGACGTTTGGAAAACGACTGTACAAAATAAAGTCACACCCAGACTTGACGAGTGAAGCTGGCAATTTTTAAGGTGAGAGGAAAGAAGAAAGAAAGAAAGAAAGAAAGAAAGAAAGAAAGAAAGAAAGAAAGAAAGGCGGTGTAACAGGAAGAATTAGTCTAAAACACACTTAGCTAGGGAGGGAGCCCCACTGAACATAATGGCACTTAGGGCTCAGCCACACTTTCCTTTTGCCCTACTCTTTGCAGACAAAGGCCCACATTTTGTAGGCCCTGAGCTTTCCCTGCAAAAACCTGCTCAGTCAGAGCAAATGCCATTTTAGATTTTCTAGGGATTGCTTCAGTTCAGCTTCAAAGAGCGAGTTTTCATGGGGAAAGCTCCGGAGCTAAAAAACCAAAAGCGCACGGACCATGCCTGGAAAGAGGGGAGGGAAGGTGAGTGTGGATAAGCCATTACTCCTGAGTAAACATGCCTAAGGGTTGTGCTATATGTCTCCAAAGTAGCTGGAACTGTACCTTGCAACAGACGATATCCAAGCACTCCATCTATGTTGAGTTCATTATATTGCTCTTCCAGGAACAAAGTTGCTTTCTCCAGTGCGGAGATGATTGAATTCCTCTTGTCCTCACATCTGGATAAATTCAGGTTAAGGAGGAAATCAACAGCTGGAACGGAGAAAGCATGTTTGCTAGAAGGCTCTGCACTGAGGATGCCAGTTGCTTCTGAGTGGTGCCTGAGAAGTGTCCTGCTCCACTCTTCCAAAGCAAAAATATACTGGCAAATTACTTTGTCAAGGGAGGACAAAGCCACCAAACATAATGACTTCCCGTGACACCTTCGGGAAAACATTTGCATGGTATGGTGAATGCCCAGGTGCTGTCTTCCTGATGAATCAATTTGCACACATCCTTTCTCCTGGATTGCGTACAGGTGGTACAGCATGAGAACTCCAGGTTTTGTGGGTTCAACCATTGGCAAAACATCTGTACAGGAGTTGGGCTAGATGATCATGTTCTCCATCTATGATGCTATGAATTTCATCTTTCCTTCTTGATTCCTTTAGTCCAGTTCCATGTATTCTGGTTTCTTCTCAAGTGGCTGTTTCTTCTAGCAATTTCAGCCATGAGAGATACCTGAATCCAATCCTCTTCAGGGGACAAATCAAATCTACTCCAATCCCCCTGAGTTAACCATTCTGAGCTTTCAGCTTGAACAACTTCAGTTGACAAGTTTACCTCCTCTTCTTTAAGAACTTCTCTTTTTAAATTAGTGTTTCAGGCTTCTTCCATAAATGTTCCACAGTTCAGTCTAAGGTGTTTGTGTATAGAGTGGATGTTTTTATTGCTCTCCTCTTTTCTTTTTTTAAATTATATTTTTATTAGAGTTTTCTTGGTTTACAAAGGTATGCGCAATGTCTCCTTTTTTCAAGTTACATTTTCCATAGGTCAGTTTCATTTGTTGAGACATTAGGGTTACATTAGGAAGAAAAGGGGGAAGAGGTGGAGGGGGAAAGGCGAGTGGGGGTGGGGTCAGGAGGCGATGTTTCTATTTTGCTTAATATATGTGTGGGGTTTTGTGTTAGCATCGTTTGTGCAGATTCTCTTTGCTATTTGCTTGTGTTGCTTGTGATTGGCTGTGGTGAACTTTGTTTTCGTGTGTGAGTGGGGTGAGTGGGTGTTTTTGAATCAGGTTAGCCATATTGATTCGTATACTGTTGGTGGATTCTTGTCGTTGTCTTTTTGGGCTGTGTATGTGATAAAGGGGACCCTTTTCTAACAGATAAATGGGTGAACATCTTGTCTGCCTATTCCTTTGTGGTGATTCATGCTCTGTGAGATGGGAGATCCCCAGGGACTTAAAGCTCCAGGTCCCAGTTTTACAATTTAATGAGCAGAGTTGAATCTTGGCATTACTCCTTTGGTTGTTTTCTCTCTGTCTAGTTTTCCTGCAGAGTTTAAAGACTTATCCACATTAACCTTTCCTCTGCTCTTTCCAGACACAGTCCATACTTTAAACCTCTGAGTGCCCTTTTTTCTTCTTTTGCCCTGGATCTTTCCCCACAAAAACTCACTCTTTAAAGCTGATTCGGAGGAAATGGCAATCTGCAGAAAACCCGAATCAATGTTTGCTCTGATTGAGTGTTAAAAGAGCAGCTTTTCATGGGGAAAGATCTGGGGGGAAAGAAAAAGAAAAGGAAGAAAGAAAAACACTTGGACATGGAGCTTTAAAGTGTGGAGATGTGCCTGGAAAGAGTGGATCAAAAGATAAGTGTGGATAAGCCCTAACTGGAAACACAGGCTGCAAACCAGAAATTTGTATACGATCTTGGATACCTGTAGATCTCAGGGCAGTTCACAACGTAAAATCACAATGTAAAAAACACAAAACACGTAATAAAAATATGAACCAAAACAAACACACATTTAAAAGGGTATTGGATATCAATCAGCAAAAGACCAAGGAAAGTGTTCTAAAAACTCTTTATGGCATGGTTGTAAACTTTTACAAAGTTGTAAGTCTTATCCTGTTGCCTTGTAGATGTCATGCCAAAAAAACCCCTCTCCCCTCTGCCAACTTCCTCACTAAAGAATCAAGCAATTCTTAAAAAAAAATTCTGTAAGTACAATGAAGAGCTTGTCTCCCAACTATCTCTGTTGCCATCTTGATCATTGGCAATTTGAGTGTTTTCAGCAGGTGTGATTTCCCCTGCCATCACCATGCTCTGCTAACTCTTGGCATAAAATTAAAGGGGAGATGCCCTTTAAATGTTGTATTAACATTTCGAGGTTAAATTGGTGCATTGTTGTCGTCCCCTCCTTATTCATGCCTTGACAAAACACCCTTTTGCAAGCAATTGTGACTGTGCAAGCATTTATCCAGCTGAGCTGGGAATAGAACCATCAGGTGGCAAAGCCCTGGATGAGTCCAGCTGGTGACCCTTGATTCCAATTCCAATTTTGGCGGGGTGATTGTTTTTATTTTCATTTTATAATACACAAAAAGCAGTAACAACAAAGCAAGTGAGTTAAAGAAAAGAAAGCAAGGCAGTGAGAAGGGAGGAGAGAGTGCTAGTATTCAAAAAACAGCATTATAATTCCTAACAATTGTCCTTCTCAAATACATTACTATTCAATAATGTTTGTGCACAGCAGCCCATGAGAGGTGGGTGGTTGCGAGCCATGGTCCTTTTATCTTAATGTATTCAGTAAATGGATGCAAAACATTTGAAAAGTTGTTGTTCCTTTTCGGATAGTGTAGGATTTGGGCATCTTTTGTTAACTTTTCCATTAGAGCAATGGTCCACCAGCTCTGGAGGTAAAATCAGCATCCTTGTGTGCAGCCTGTAGGGCTTGGGGATGCTATCTGCAGCATCCTTGGGTAGGCCAGCTTCTGGACCATCCACCTGTCTCCAGCCTTCTCTCCTGTGCCCTCTAGGAAGAAGGGGAGATCACTGTGGAGAGCTTGCTGAACATCTCCTGGGGGCTGCTTAGGTCCATCTGCTTGCTAGTGCATCTGCCCACTGCCTTCCTCCTCCTCCTCCTGGCATTCCAGCTGCAACCTGGGAACACACTCAGAGTATAACCTACCTCGCAGGGTTGTTGTGAGCATTGCTTTTTTCTGGGGGGGGGGGAGACTGGACGCAGGGGTATGCATACCCCTAAACATTATGTTAATCTAAGTTTGGCCTCATTGAGGAATAGTATTTTATATGGGTAGGAAAATGAGAGTAAAAAGGTAAAGGTAAAGGACCCCTGACAGTTAAGTCCAGTCGCGAACTACTCTGGGGTTGCGCGCTCATCTCACTTTACTGGCCGAGGGAGCCGGCGTTTGTCCGCAGACAGTTTTTCCGGGTCATGTGGCCTGCATGACTAAGCCGCTTCTGGAGAACCAGAGCAGTGCACAGAAATGCCGTTTACCTTTCCGCCGGAGTGGTATCTATTTATATACTTGCACTTGATGTGCTTTCGAATTGCTAGGTTGGCAGGAGCAGGGACCGAGCAACGGGAGCTCACCCCGTCGTGGGGATTCGAACCGCTGACCTTCCGATCGGCAAGCCCAAGATGCTCAGTGGTTTAGACCACAGCGCCACCCGTGTCCCTAAACACGAGAGTACGTACCCCTAAACATTTTTTTAAAGAAAAAAAGCACTGGTTGTGAGGATAAAAATGGGGAGAAGCTACCTTGAGCTCCTTGTAGGAAAGGTTAGAAGTCTAATAAGTTCGTAAGCAATTATTATTGGTAACAGTGGGCTTCCGTGGTGGTTTGAGGCAAGGACTAGCTCACTGGGCCCCACCACTCGCATCACCCACACTTTCCGTGAGAGAGGGTCAACCGAGTCGCGAGTTGCAAATAGACAACTTCAAGACTGAACTTTGTGCTTCTCTTGTCATAACCTGCATGCATTACATATTACGTAGTTCTCTTGGCATATTTTAATTTCCTTGCATGGGTTGGCTAAATGACCCATGCGATCCCTTCGAATTCTACAATGCTATGATTCATCCGGGACGCGGGTGGCGCTGTGGGTAAAAGCCTCAGCGCCTAGGGCTTGCCGATCGAAAGGTCGGCGGTTCGAATCCCCGCGGCGGGGTGCGCTCCCGCTGCTTGGTCCCAGCGCCTACCAACCTAGCAGTTCGAAAGCACCCCCGGGTGCAAGTAGATAAATAGGGACCGCTTACCAGCGGGAAGGTAAACGGCGTTCCGTGTGCTGCGCTGGCTCGCCAGAGCAGCTTTGTCACACTGGCCACGTGACCCGGAAGTGTCTGCGGACAGCGCTGGCCCCCGGCCTCTTGAGTGAGATGGGCGCACAACCCTAGAGTCTGTCAAGACTGGCCCGTACGGGCAGGGGTACCTTTACCTTTATGATTCATCCGCACAGGGAAGCAGAGAAGAATCTCGCCCGTCCAGCCTCGTTTTGGATCCAAGATGGCTACCGTTCTGAAAGCGGCCTATCTCGGCAATGATCCCCCACCTACATAATGCAGGCACTACTTCCTTGGTCAGATTCAGCGGAAGGCGCTCTAGCCCTCCCACTCGATCTCCCACAAGATGGCGGCCCTCCTTTGGTTTACGCTTTGCGGGTCGGCGACGTTAACGCTGCTTCTGCTTCTCCTGTTACTATGGCAACGGCAGCGGCCTGCTGGTTCCGAGGACCGCGTGGCGGTGGTGGTGCTGGGCGACCTGGGCCGCAGCCCCCGTATGCAGTACCACGCCCTATCGCTGGCCCGCCGCGGCCGCCGCGTCGACTTTATCGGGTACCCGGGTGAGTCCGAGGTGCTGGGGCTTTTTCCAGCCTGGAAGCCACGCCTCCTACTGCCTTGCTGCAACCCCTCTTTCCAAAAGATGTCCGAGGGCTTTTGCGCTTTCCTTTGGTTCGATGAAAGGCACTCTGCATATGCTCAGAGGCACTCTTGCACTGCAATGTTATTTTTAACAGAATACCGCTAAGGTATGCAGCCGGGGATCTTGCTTCCTTGCAAACCCTCATTGCAGAGATGTGAGGGAGTTTGAGCGTTGTGAAAGGTACTCTGCATATGCTCAGATGCACTCTTGCACAGCAGTGTTGTTGTTGTTATTAACAGAATGCTATTAATGTAGCCAGCCATGCATATTATTATTATTATTATTATTATGCTAACCCATGTTCCAGGTATGTGAGAGAGTTTAAGTGCTTGGGGAAGAAGGGGCACTCTTCATATGCTCAGATGCAACCATTTAGAGCTGGTCATCTGAAGGCCTACAGGTTCCCCACTCCTTCAGCAGTGGGTGTCCTTTTAAACTGCCATAGGTATACACTGAGTTACCCTAATATGTGTATAGGTTTTTGTCCCCAGAACACCCACATTGCTGGCTTATATACTGAATTCATATTTGCTGTTCCCACTTAATTTGCTTTCACATTCTGTTCTGTTTATGTATGTGCTGGATGGATTTTCTTAATTGTTTACTTTTCTCTCAGGCACAAAGCCACATAGCGAGATTATACGTAATGGAAACATACAGATTGTTCATATCTCTGAGCTCAAAATTTGGCAAGGTATGGTGAACATTGCAGTATTTGGAGGTTGTTTTTTTTTTTTAAAGGATGCACCAGTTTTTAAATCAAGGCTCCTTTGACAGAAAAAAAACTGCTTTTTTGCTATTTTATATTTTAAACATATTGTGTAACTTGTGTTTAATGTTTGTTATTGGTATTTATAATGAACTTATTGTAAACAGCTTTATGTGTTTTATTATGTGTGTTGCAACTCTGATGACTGTTTATTTCCTCTTGTAGTTGGGCCAAAGATGTTCCAGTATATCGCAAAAGTCATTTTACAGAGCATCCAACTATTGTATACAATGCTGAGGATAGCTAAACCAAACTATGTACTTCTCCAGGTACATATGCGCCAGAACTATATACAGTATTTGTGTCTTATTTAGAACTATATACAGTATTATATATATACTATATATATATACTATATTTAGAACTATATACAGTATTTGTGTCTTCTAGGTCTGTTTAAAACATACCACTTTTAAAGCAGTGGCAATTGGGAAATGTTTTATTTAAAGTGTGTTTTATTTGAATGCTATATTTGGAATATCGATACACGTATGCTTTGTCTGCAGTAGTCCAAGGTTTGTTTTTAGAGCAGATTATTATGTTTTTGCCTTAACTTTTTAATTGGGGTAGCTGCCTGTTATTATATAATCACAAGCAAACATCATTAGGTGATGGTGAATACTGTAAGAACAGGTTGCTGGACTAGATGGGTCTTTTGGTCTTAGCCTGCCAGCAGAAGGATAACAATGAAGCAGCCAGCCTAACCTTTCTTGGGAGGGAATTCCACAATATGCTTTTGATGTTCATGGGACTGAGAGAAGGTGCTCACCTGAGACTCTTAGCAACCATCCTAAAGAATCTTGGGAACTGTAATTTGTTAAAGGGTCTGGTAATTCAATATCTGTGGGTGTTAAACTACAGTTCTCAAGATTCTTAGGGGGAAGCCATGTGCTTAAAATGTGTGGTGTTGATATGACCTATGGCACTGAGATAAAGGCTTTGGGGAGAATGAGACTTATGAGGAAATATATGAAGGGTAGGGGAAGAGAGATGTGGCTTTCTGGGTAGGAGTTAAAGGCCCAGTCAGAGGAAGAAAGCAAGAGCTCTTATTCTCTTGTATTGTACTGTCTCTTGCTCTCTGAAACAGGCTCTCTTTCTCTTCATTTTTATGACCAGAATCCTCCAGGTCTGCCCAGCATAGCTGTTACCTGGGTGGCTTGTCTTCTAAGAAGCAGTAAGCTCATCATCGATTGGCACAACTACGGTTATACCATAATGAGCCTCACACATGGAACGAGGCACCCTATTGTCCGGATTGCTAAGTGGTTTGTACAACAGCTGTTTAAAGTTTATTAGACACCATTGGCCAAGTCATCAGTGAACCATGGGGATTATTCATTTTTTTATATGTGTGTGTGCGTGTGCACACGCGCGTGTATTTATGTAGGTTTATCTGTATAACCACCCTGGGAGGCAGTTTAGGCTGAGATTTGGTGATTGGCACAAGGTGACTTCATGACAGTGGGCATTTGAACCATGGCAGAGTGAGATCTTCCTCGTCCGATAGTAGCCACTGCACCACACTCCCTCGTAATGCTCCTTTGTGAGTATTTCAGAAGCGCTAGAAACTTGATGAAATATTTGTACATCTATTAGCAACTGGCCTCATACAGTGCATTGCTGAATGTGACTACAGTATGATCACATCTTACATGCGGTTAACTGGCAGCCATATACGTGGTTGAAGGCAGACTGGTTGAAAATGCACAAGTTAAATCCAAGCAAGGCAGAGAGCTTAAAAGCTCTTTTTGTGCCAGATCCACTTGGGTTACCTGGCATGAAAAGAGCTTGGTAAGCTCTCCACCTTGCTTGCTGGGCAAGGCTAGCTCAGCATGCGAACTCTGGGAGTATTGGAGATTCGCTCTCTCCCATGCTAGCCACAGGGGTGGCTCCAAGAGTTTGGATATACACTGTTTTTGTGTATACGTAGAACCCTTTGAACCAAACCCCTGCTTAAGATGCAGTTGTCCTGTATTGTATTTAGAAAAGTTTCCTATATTTGAACATGTTATCATATTGATTTTGATTTTATTAGTCACATACTAGAATAGTCGCTGGCTTACATAGCATGTGGATAAAATTGTTGGTGTGTATCTCTTGTGATAACAAATGTGGGCCATGCTCCAGGTAAAGCTAGTCAAGCCTATGGCTGCCATCTTATATGCAGTGGGCTGCATCTGGACTAAGTTAATTGAACATGGGTTCCATTGAAATCAATGTGAAAACTTCAGGCCACAGCAAGACTTAAATCTCAATTATTTCAGTGGGAATTTCATGCAGTTAATATAGTCTGGATCCAGTTCTCTCAGTGGAGTTTACTTCTGAGTAGTTATTCATAGGGTAATAGCATAAAAGCTGCTGAAAATGGTTATCCCTGTTTTGAGATGGAGTTGAGCCATGATGCTATGTGGTAGGCAACTTTTTAGGTTTGAAGTTATTCTCAGGGTTTTTAGTGTGTGAGACCACTGAATTCCCAGGTTATGAGGAATTGTGTATGGGAAATATATGAACATATATTGCATTTTGTGGTTTAAATGGATTTGAGAAATGAAGGAAAATATGGTTTTGCTTTATTTTTTTAAAAAGGCATTGCAACCAGGGAAGAAACTTATATTCCCATGAAAGCATCTGAGATGGGTTAGTAGAACCAGTATTTAGTAACTGATGGGCATTCAATTTATTTCAGGTATGAAGAATTCTTTGGGCGTCTGTCTGACTATAACATTTGTGTGACTAACTCAATGAAAGAGGATCTTCTGGTGAACTGTAACATCAGGTAAATGAGTGGCTCACAATTGGCTCTACCAAATGAGTTGTATGTGTTGCAAGGACCTTTACTAGACCATATAGAAATATCCAGCAGAGCCAGTGGAATATTAACAATATTGTTAATATTAACAATTAACTAAAATGTAACTTATATATAATATTGTTAATATATTGTTAATATTGGTATTTTTTTGTCTTTGCAAATTGCTTTGAACCTTCTTGTATTGGAAAACAGCATATGAAAGTATGCATATCATAAGAGCAAATGGGAGAGCAGGGTCACTTCCTCCAGCACTTTGAATGATAGGTTTACTGAGGGGCCTACAGAGGTTTAGCCCAAAGTGCTTCGCCTCAACCCCTGGGATCTTGCACCACAAAATCACAGTGTGCAGATTGGTCCTAGCTGCATTAGCCTACTCAGATGTGATGCCCAGTGTGTGAATATCAAGCATGGATGAAGCCTCAAGTGCTCTCACCACATGTACCCTTTCTCTTCTCTAACATAACATCTGCCCATAGTTTTCCTGCCTTAATTTTGTGTAAAAATATTTCTATAGTACCTTTTTACATTCACTGATTTTTTTATATATAGTAATATTTTATTAAGATAATTTCAGTTGGAAGAAATAAAGTGAAGAGAAAAACGAAGAAAGAAAGAAAGAAAGAAAGAAAGAAAGAAAGAAAGCAAAACATAAAAAAGACAATAAGCAAAAAAGATAAAATATGCTAAATATAGCGTAGTTACATTTCCATACATTATTATATAGATATATAAGTAATATTATTGTCCTTTTGGCTAAGATCAAGTATAGTATCTGATTTTTATCTTTATTGTTTTGACTCCTGGGCCCCTTTGCGTTGCAGAGCGACAACCCTCTATGACAAGCCAGCTTCTTTCTTCAAGGAAACGCCATTGATCGATCAGCACAAGTTGTTCATGAAACTAGCCAAAGAATATGCTCCATTTAAAGGCCAACTTGTGTAAGTTGAAATGTGCTGTCGTATACACTCCTACATAGTTTGGAACTGGCATGCTTAAGAACACAGGAAGAGCCTTCTGGATCAGGCCAGTGGCTCATCTAGTCCAGCATCCTGTTCTCAGAGTGGCCAACTAGATGCTTGTGGGCAAACCTCAAACAGAACCTGAGCACAAGATCCCACTGCCTTCCTGTGGTTTCCAGCAACTAGTATACAAAAGCATTACTGACACCAAACTATAGAGGCAGAGCATAGCCATTGTGGCTGGTAGCCATGGATGACCTTTTCCTCCATTAATATAATTCCTCTTTTAAAGCCTTCTAAGTTGGCCATCAATGGGACGTGGGTGGCGCTATGGTCTAAACCACAGAGCCTAGGGCTGGCTGATCAGAAGGTCAGTGGTTCAAATCCCTGCGATGGGGTGAGCTCCCGTTGTTCAGTCCCAGCTCCTGCCCACCTAGCAGTTTGAAAGCACGTCAAGTGCAAGTAGATAAATAGGTAAGGTAAATGGCATTTCCGTGCACTGCTCTTGTTCACCAGAAGCGGCTTAGTCATGCTGGCCACATGACCCGGAAGCTGTCTGTGGACAAACGCCGGCTCCCTCGGCCTATAGAGCGAGATGAGCGCTGCAACCCCAGAGTCGTCCACGACTGGACCTAACGGTCAGAGGTCCCTTTACCTTTAAGTTGGCCATTGCTGCCTGCCGTGGGAATGAGTTCCATAATTTAACTATGCTCTGTATGAGTAAGTAACAAGTCTTTTATTCATTTGGTACCAAGGCAGCTTGTTTTAATACTAATGGGTTGAGGAGCTTAGTAGGGAACTTTTAGAAGGGATAAATATTGACAACATCTCTGCCTAAATATGGAGCTGACCTTTATGGCTTCCATTAATCTGATTTTGGGAGCTATAATGTTTGGTTTGGCACGTGTGCTTTTGCTGATCAAACATCTTCCTTGAAGATTAGTCTTCAGAATCCTGTTTCTCCTCAGAGCAGAGTCCAGCCTCCCAGGTGATGTTGAGAAAACTGCCTTTACACAATTAGACACCAGGAGCGGAAACGTGATGCACTGCATGGGCCGGCCAGCTCTCCTCATCAGCAGCACCAGCTGGACAGGTCTTGGCTCTATACCATTGTCTATGTATCTTTCCATACAGTATGCTTGAGATGCTCGCACATGAAGCTGTAAAATAGCGAAGCAGAACCTCAGGTCCAGGGCCAAATGCAACCCTCCAGGTCTCTTTGCCTGGCCCTTGGTTCTCTCTGTAGGCCACACCCCCTCCTAAGCCACACCTCTCACCAGCCCTGCTTCATAAGCTTGGGTGTTTTGGCCTGGCTGGAATGTGCCCTTGAACCTCTGATAATGCTTCTTGCTTGTCTGGATGGAGAGGGGTTTGGGAGTAGAAACTAGCCTATCGTAGACAGTTAAAATTCACATTTGCAGTTCCCATCGCTTTTGCCTCTGGCTCTGCCTACCACTGCAGTGTTTCCTCCAGAAGGGAATGCTGCCTTTGGGCTGGAAAGGTGCCCCCACTCCCGTTGTAAGACTTTGCAGTAACTGTGTACCAAGAGAAGTGGCAAATACTTGAGCAGAGAATATTCAAGATTGCTTGGAATCTTTTTTAAAAAATTAGTGGAAGTACAGGTGACCAATTATCAAATTGGCAACATAATCATGGTTGCTAACAGAAGCTGATTGCCTCCCACTTCCAAGGAGAGGATAATTTTCATGTCCCTCTTTCCTTGGATTTCTGATCATGTATGGCTGTGTTGAAAAATAAAATCTCATCATGTGGGCAGGAACTGTGAACATAAGCCTCCACATGAAGAGTGTAACGTAAACATTGTCTTGTTCTGTACTAGAATTTCTCCAAAAACTGTGTCAGGCCACTAACTTTTCAACAGCCTTTCTCTTTCCCTTCATCCCCCAATCGATGATGTTGCTTGGTTTTCACAGTCTACTTGCAAATGTTTAGAAAACATTTGTTTCATTAGCAATTATTAATTGAGTTTTAATTAATGTTTGAAGGTTATGAAGTGTTTTGAAATTGACAGGATGAAATCAGTGACCTGGAGCACTTGGCAGCCTAATATAAACTGGGTTTATTTTTTTATTTATGTCAGAGCTCCATTCTTTTCCCTAGTAAAAGTAACAGAGCTGACCCTAGGTCTAGGCAGGGTAAGATGGAATATTTTGTGGGAGTACAATTTATTACAGTATATGGTTGGGGGTGGTGCTGTGGGTAAAAGCCTCAGCGCCTAGGGCTTGCCGATCGAAAGGTCGGCGGTTCGAATCCCCGCGGTGGGGTGCGCTCCCGTTGTTCGGTCCCAGCACCTGCCAACCTAGCAGTTCGAAAGCACCCCTGGGTGCAAGTAGATAAATAGGGACTGCTTACTAGTGGGAAGGTAAACAGCGTTTCCGTGTGCGGCTCTGGCTCGCCAGAGCAGCGATGTCACGCTGGCCACGTGACCCGGAAGTATCTCCGGACAGCGCTGGCCCCCGGCCTCTTGAGTGAGATGGGCGCACAACCCTAGAGTCTGTCAAGACTGGCCCGTACGGGCAGGGGTACTTTTACCTTTATATGGTTGGGAGACTCTTTGAATCTTCTCCCTTAGGCACCAAAATATATTGGGATCATCTGTGTGTATAAAGTTTGTAGACAGTCATTTTATGTATTTAAAGCATTTTTACTCTCAGTCAAAATGGCTCCCAGAGCTGCTTATAGATCAACAAAAAGCAAATGAATCCCTGCTCTCAGGTTTCCACTCAAGAAGACAAGACACAAAAGCTAAAAGGGATGGGGAGGGAAGATGAAAATGAGCAACCTCAGGCAGCGGTTTCTTAAAGGTTACAAAGTTCTTCTAATGGCAAAACAGTTCAGTTAGCTTCTCTTGGGAGACAGTTGTGGAAGAGCCAAAGGTTCTCAGCAGAGCCAGTGGAATAGTCAAAATGCCTTAAGGAATCCAGCAAATGCACAAGGCATTCGGAGTTAATTTCAGAGTTGATCTCAGTGGGCTTAAGCATGTCTAATGCCAACACAGAATACATTGCTATTTGAATGAATGTGACAAATACGGAAGAGATTACTTTAGCTGCATGTCTTCTAGCTGCTGTGAGCCCCTTTGGCTGTACAAGAGAGAAGCACCGTGTTGATTGCCTCATTTGCTCTACGTTATACAGTTGCTACAGAGACAGCACTCAAAAGCCGAATTGCTTTAGGTGAAACCAGAGTTATTGCTGTGATTCTTGTATATTAACTGCAAACTTTTTCTCCCTTTTCTAGAAGATGAAGATTTTTCCATCCTATTAAGAGCTTTAGAAGGTGGGTTATTAAGGGAGCATTCTGTCTTTCTTAACAAGCAAACCTAGATCCACTGCTGTCACTGGAGGCACAGGCGGCCTCAGCAGTCTGGGCTGCCCATAATTTGATTTGTTCTGGCCCTCCTGCCGAAAGTGATTCCCCATCCCTGCATTAGCGGAATTGGCAACTGGATCAGAGAGCAGGAACTGTGGTCTATCCTCTTCCTTTCTTCACTTGCTGGGAACAGTGTACTATTAGGTGGCTAAGACTGAGAAGGGTATTTTGAGCAGTGGGGGAGAGACATTTGCATAGGTGAACACACCTTCTTGAATGCTGATAAGCAGAACTCAACTGTGGTTACCCCCTACTGCAACCAAAGCTATTGTTGCCTTAGTCCTGTGAACCTCAATCTTCCACTTCTCCTGCCCACAGCTGCAAAAAGAAAAGGAGGGCTGGAGAGAAAAGCAGTGGCAGCTACAGGCTCTTCTACCCCTGGCAGAGCATCTTTCTCAGCAAAGAACTGGGACCAGCAGTTCCAACATGTCTATCAGAAAAAGCGAGAGTTGTGAGAGCATCAAGGAAAAGGCCCCCATCAGAGAACAGGCTTGTTCTCTGATGGGGAACAGTTCTGTTTGCATTGCCACATGTGTTCTGTGCATATCTGGGATTCAGGTGTTGGCTACAAAGTCTCCTTTTGCGTCATTCTTGACTTAAAACACTCTTTTATCAAGGCATGCTGAAAACTTGGTTATAGGGTGGCATCTAGATGCTTAAACTAAAAAATAGGTAGCAACTACAAGGGTGCTCACTCCCCCCCCCCAAAAAAAATTCTCCTATTGGTCCAGATTCACTTTGGGATCTGTCTACAAACAATCTTGGCTGTAAGACTGTAGCTCTTCCCACCTCAGTCTTCCTGCTTGCTGTAGAAATCCCAAGTTTGTTAAAAATAAAAAAAAAGTTGCCTTTTGTAGCCTGTCACTTTTCCCCAATGATGGTTTTGGGAAAGTCACAACTCTTACTGTTTGTTTTGTCACACAGAATATGAACGCTATCTCAATGATGGAGCAAAGCTTCCTCCTCTTGTGTGTGTGATAACAGGTAGCAGCTTTTAAATCATTTGTCTTCTTTTCATCTTATGTATTCATACTGGGAAACCCATCTTCTCCACCACCACTGAAGAAGCAAGGAAGCTTCTGTTTGCTCCAGAGCTCTCTGTGTGTTGAGTGCATTAGTGAGGACCCTGCTTTCATTTTTGTGTTCGGTTTGTGCCTTAAGCTGCTGGCCCTAGGTTGCTGGCATGGTGTTAGCCCCCCGCCCCCGTGAACTATATAATTGTTACATTTACACCCTACCTTTCCTCCAAGGAACTCTAGGTCGCATGTTTCTCCTCCCTCTGTGCTTTTATCTTGGCTACAATCCTGTGCAGTAGGCTAGACTGAGAGACTGCGGCTGGCTCAAAGTCACCCAGTGAGCTCCAAGGCTGAGCAGCGATTTTGACTCTGTTCTCCCAGCTCATAGCCTGACATTCTAAAACCATGGCACCACGCTGGTTCTGGGCATTCAAATGAAATCTTGCCCAGAGGATGATAACTCTCACAATGTGCCCTTTTGGATCAACAGCAAACCGTTTTGTTCATTTTCTTTCATTTAAAAAAGGCAAAGGGCCTCTGAAGGAGTATTACAGCAAGCTGATTGCAGAGCTGCATTTCAAGCATATCCAGATCTGTACTCCATGGCTGGAAGCAGAGGATTACCCCCTTCTGCTCGGTAAGGAAGATCTTCAAATTCCCAGTATGCTTCAATGTGTCATTTTGAAAATTTACAGGAGCAGACTCATGAGATCTTTGGGGTATAGGATAGTGGTCCATTGCAGGACTGTGATAGCAGAACCTGCTATTGAATAATGGAATAATAGAATTGTCAAGTTGGAAGGTACCCCAAGGGTCATCTAGTCCAACCCCTTGCACTGCAGGAATCCTGCCCACAGCCATCCCTGGGTGGGCTTGAACCACCAACCTTCTGGTTAACAGCCAGATGCCCCGACCCACTTGAAATGGGTCCTTTGAAGCAGGAGAGGAACTTGCACCCTTTCCTCCCTTTTCTTCTCCACAAGGGTGCTGACTGGCAGGGCAGAGGGAAAACAAGATGGCGGTGATATATACAAATTGGCTAAGGTAAAGAACTGTCTCTTCAGCATACAATGGAAGCTACGTAATGGAAGGCACCAGAATTAGCTCTGCAGTGTGGGGAGGTATCCCACAGCACGGAGGCTGCCAGTGAGAATGGCTTCCCCCAGGTCACCACTCCTAGAAGCTCCAAGGGCAGTGGAACAACAAAGAAGGCCACTCTCTGCTGATCTTGGCACCTGAGAGGATCTGGGGGGAAGAACAGGTCAGTAGAGAGGGCCTTGTATTCAGGGTCAGGTTCCTAAGTGACCTGGGCTTAGGAATGTTTGAGTGACAGTGAAACAGTTTCAAGTGAGTACAATGCAAGAGCTGGTGTACAATTCCTGCGTGCTTCATTTTAACTGCCCCACAAACTCCTCCTTGGCAGGCCTCATTACCACCTGATTTGTATGCCTCATTTTTTTTCCCAGTGGCAACAAGCCATCCATTACTTGAGCAGCTACAAAAAAAAACCTCATTTGCAGAATGTACTCAGTGGGATTGGTTTCTCTTACAGGCTCAGCTGACTTGGGCGTCTGTCTTCATATGTCCTCCAGTGGCTTGGATCTACCTATGAAGGTCGTGGACATGTTTGGCTGCTGCTTGCCTGTGTGTGCAGTGCACTTCCAGTGGTAAGAGCACACCTGTGTGTTTCAGCCTCACAAAAGAACCTGGCGTTAGACCATTGGTCCATCTAGTGCAGTAATGTTTACACTGGCACCTCTCAGGGGTTTCAGGCAGGGAGTCTTTCCCAGCCCTGCCTGGGGATAATGGGATTTGAAGCTGATACCTTCTGCATGCAAAGCAGATGCTCTACCAATGAGTTATGGCTCTGTTGGTTAACCCATCTCTCTATTCTTTGAGATCTCCCTTTGTTTATTATTATTATTGGTGGTGGTTGTTACCTGCAACAAAAAGTTGCAGAATGCTCCTGTTCAGGCTGCAGCCAGTCTGGAGCTCCCTGCAGATTCCTCTGGTTTTTTAATACTCCCTGGCAGCTCACAGGTCCTTGTCAGCTCCCTTTAGTTAGAAATAATTGGGAAACTATTGTTTTTATTTTAATTTGGAAATCTTGCTGTTCTTTTTTCTGTGCTGTGTTTGGGGCTGATGTGGTCCAAAATACCTGGAAGGCACTGGCTGGTGCATTAATGTGGTATGTTAACTGTTAACCCGCTCCCTCACTGAGGAAAACAACTTTGAGATTCTTTCTAGTGCTGTTTTGCTTATTTTTGCAGTATACATGAACTTGTGAAGCATGAAGTAAATGGTTTGGTGTTCCGGGACTCAAGCGAACTTGCAGAGCAACTGAAGGTAACTTAGAAAAAGAGAACTTTGACTTGCTGATGGGGCTCATTGAGCACTCATTGCTCTGGAAACATCAAGGAAGCTGGATGTTTTGGTGGTAGGAGGGAAGTTTCATCTTTGAATGCTGCTTTATAGTTTAAAAACAAAAACTTCCTGAACATAGAAAATTAGGAGAAATATATAAGCTAACATTCTCCCTGAAGCACTAACTTTCTATGTGTAGGGAGTTGCTTTTAAATAAGTGGAAAGGGACATTCATTCTTTCTTTCTCTCTCTCTCTGTCTGTCTCTCTCTTGCATATGTTGTCCTTTTTAAAATATATAGCTTTATTTTTTTTATTAAGGATTTTCCAGTATATGGAATGCTAAGCATATCATCAATTTTCTTAAAGAAAAAAAAATCAAACACAAGCAATTTAGTTAGGATGCATAGAGTATAGAATTGCAACTCCCCCCCCCCCCCGCAAGCCCTTCATTATTTTCTCAGTAGGTCAGCAAGATTTCATAATGATCTGGCATGGGTTAGGTTATTGAATCTTGGAATACATAGCTCTGACTATAATTTACTTGCGTAAACAGTTCTTTGATAATCCCAGGGACTTGTCACATTATTACTGTTCATGTGCCAATTTTGAAGGTGGTACTTTTCTAGTGAGACATCAGTTTGTTTGTTGAGGAAGCAATTGATTCAATGTAGTTTTATCTGGGAAAAATACCTGCATCTTTCCATAATTGCAGGTATAGAAAGTAGAATATTTTTCCATTTTCCTGTATACTGCATTAATCTGTTTCACTCACTCTTTCTAACCTTCCAGATGCTTTTCTTGGAATATTCTTCTGCAGAAGGCAAGCTCAATTTATTCCGAAGGAATCTTTGCACAACCAAGCAGCTGCGGTGGGATGAAAGTTGGGAGCAGACAGTGCTTCCTCTTTTTAGCAGCAGTTAAGCTGATACGACTTCGAAGTTAATTTATAACTTGCACATTCTCAAAATCTGTAACACCACAAGCGTGTTTGTATATCAAAAATTCTTTTTACAAAAGAAAAAGTGATTTTATATGGTGAATAAAAAGTTTTATCTGGAGCTTCGTTATAGGCTTATGCAATTTTTCCACTTTTTCCTCTTAATTTCTATGCTGTGGATAGAGCCAACGTTGTTTTGTATCTACTTACTGCTTCACTGGTTTTTTTTAAAATGCAGTAATGAAGTAGGTTGTGGTGCCTTCAGTTATTGTTGCCTAAGTTGCAAGCTGGTAATTCCCTATTTGAAGTGGAAACATGTTACTGTGACTCTTGAAAAGTATAATTTATAACATCTTCACATTCAAAGGAGATATCATATTGCAGTGTGTGTTATGTGTTTCCTTCCTCACTTTATAACTGGTATTTGAACATGAAATGGAGAATTTTACCCAGAACATGCAGGGTCTGAAACCTTAAACTCCAAGTTCTATGTTGTGTTACAGTACATTTAGCATTTTCCTCCTCCCTTTGAAAAGGGGTCATGCTGGTATTAGGATTTCAGGTTTAAAACAATTCCTTGAGTGTTCAATCATATTTCATTTTGGGATCTCTTTGTTCAGGATAGACATTTGTATTGCAAGCAAAAGGACCAAACAGGCTTGGCTGATGAAATTGTAGGACTTGGAGATCTTGGCCCAAGGTGGAAAGAAGCTTTGCCTCTGTTCAAGCTTTGCCTCATTTAAACTTTGGCCATTTTGCTTTGTCCTAAGACTCTCATCAAGGCTTCTTTGACATCTTTATTGCGCAGGCTGTATATGATCGGGTTGATCATGGGGTTGATGATAGTATAGAAGACCGAGATGGCCTTGTCCTCTTCTGGCGTGCGCTGCCCCTTCGACCGCATATACATGAGCATGGCAGTCGTGTAGAAGATAGTCACCACTGTCAGGTGTGCTGAGCAGGTGGAGAAAGCTTTCTGCCTGCTGTCGGCAGAGGCGAGTCGCAGTATGGCAATAATGATGCGTATGTAAGAGAGTACGATCAAGAGAAAGGGGATGATCTCCGTCGCTATGCCCCCCATGTACATTGCACTCTCGCTCACAGAGGTGTCAGCGCACACCAGCTGAAGCATGGCTGGGACTTCACAGAAATAGTGGTCAATGACATTGGAGCCGCAGAGAGGGAGCTTGAGGACGAAGAGTGGAACCACTGACCCCAGGAAGGTGCTGAGCCAAGACCCAGCAGCCATGCCGATACAAACCGATTTGTTCATTAGAACAGAGTAGCGCAACGGGTGGCAGATGGCGACGTACCGGTCGATCGCCATCACGGCAAGGAAGATGCATTCTGCCGCCCCTAGGAACAGCGTGATATACATCTGAGCCTCACACAACTCAGCTGAGATGGACTTCCTTTTCACCAAGAAGTTCATGAGCATTTTGGGGACAACGGCCGAAGTGCAAATGATATTCAAGACTGCCAGGTTGCAGAGGAAGAAGTACATGGGCATTTGAAGGTGGGGGTCCAGGCTGGTCAAAGTGATTACAGCAATGTTTCCAATCAGAGTTACGGTGTAGATCACTAGGAATATAATGAAGAGGAAGACTTGGGCCAGTGGGGAGAGAGGGAACCCCAAGAGAACGAATTCTGTGATGACGGTTATGTTTTCCATTTCTGTACTTTTCTGTAGGAAGAACAATAGTGGTTTAGTGGTCAAAAGTGCAAGAATTCATCTTGACAGCCCCTATAAGCTATGCCCATGAAGAGAGTCTACACACACTTGCATCCCAAAGCAGCAATACATAGCATAATACTCAGTTGATTAGGATCGGCACTTCTGCAGTCCAATGCAAAGATACCTAGTAGTCATTTCCGTTAATCTCATTTCTGACTTCTCAAAACTCATTGCGATCTTAACCCTGCTGAAATGCCATCTTCAGCCTTCAATTAGAAATGGAAACTATTGTTGCAAATAAGTGCCAGCATTTAATCTGCTGTCAATGTGGAAAAGAAATAGAGAACCATACCACTTTATTTTCTTCGTTCTCTGACTACCTCTCTGAGTTAAATCTGTTGCCCTTCAGATGTTGCTGAATTACTGTTTCCATCATCCCTGACCATTGGCCAGGCTGGCTGGAACTGATGGGAGTTGGAGTCCAACAACACCTAGGGGGCCACAAGTTGCCACAACCTGCCCTACATGCTGTGACAGACCAGCCAACCCACTTCTGTTTTTTTCAACTGGGTTTGCTCCCCCTGCTGTTTGAGATCCCTTTTAACAGGAGATGGTTCAGAGTGTACCTGTGACCTTCTGTCTCAGAGCTCTGGAGCCCCCTGTTATGCCAAGATGGGATGCATCATTTAACTTCCACCGGCAATAGATTACAGAACTGTTTTGTCCCCCCCAATCGCTCACCTTTTTAATTTGTTTTAAAATAAATGTGTTTCTTATATTTTTTTAAAGAAACCTCTTGTCTCTGTGCTGCTTTGGGAAACTGAAGTCGGTGTAAGGTAGCTGATTGGGATGTGGGGACTGCCACGTGCACAAATCTACCTAAGTAGGAGGCTCTAGAGGAGCCTTGGAGGCTTTTCAACACAAGTAACTGCCTTATGGCAAGCATGAGCCTTGACCCACCGATGTGCAGCACCTCTCCACAATTTCACACTGGGCTATTCCTCAGCCCTTTTTGGAAGCACTAGAGATTGAATTTGCATGCAGAACATGTTCTCTACCACAGAGCTGCAGCCCTCTTGAGTGCTGCTTCCACCACTGTTACTAATATATCCTGCGTAATGCCAAAATAGGATTTTAAGTGGTTCATGAAGTAGAAAAACCAAGTTACACAATTAAAATGTACAATAAGACAGCACATATCAGTTAACAACAAGGAACTTGGTTTGAGAAATAGACATAATGCCTGTTGCCAATAGAGATGGGGGTCTTTTGTATTGACAGCAGAGAGTGCTTTTCCTAACACTGGAGATATTAGTGAAAAAAAGCCTGCTACTATGTTGCCACAGGCCAATAAATGTCAAGCTGCGGCAATGGTACCAGCTGAAGACCTCTTTCATTTGCCTCAGTCTGTCATGATATTTAGACTTATTAGATCCAAGGATGCAAGTTTTTAAGAAAATTTTAAATTGGAACACTTTCCCAAAAAATTTTTTCGCATGGGGTAATTTGCACTGAAAAATCTTCCACCTGCATCAGAAAATGTTCTTTTAAAAAAATAATCAATTTTATTAAAGGTTTTCAACCTAATATACCATAAAATTCCAACTAAACTAAAAAGAATAATAACAAATATATCAAACAGAAATAAAGGGGGGAAATTAAAATACATTAATAAATCTCACATGATCCTCATAAGACACCCTGCCTCTCATACAGGCCCCTTCCTTTTCTCTCAGCTCCCTGCATAAGAATATGTTCTGCCAACCTTGCCTACAAGTGTATTTGCAATTGGCAATCAGGGCTAATTAACTCCTAACAGCCCCAATGGGGTAAAGAATGATGGGAGTTGTAGTCCAATAACACGTGCAGGGCACTATGTTGACTACCCCTGGCTTAAATAGTAGCCTTTTGTCTTTTTTTATGCTGAGTGGAGTATTGTGTTTTAATTTGCCTGATTTTTATTTAAATATTGCTGTTATGGGTAGCTAACATGCAGTTCTCCAGATGTCTCCCACCTTCAGCCTTTTAACAGGATCCACTGGAAAGAAACAACCAAAGAAAGGTGGTTCCAGGTAGAAAAGCACAATTAGCTCTTTCCTCCCATCCACTACTTCAGATTGCATCCAATCCTTGCTTCGTAGGGACACACGCTCCCATGTTTGGTCCTGCCAGTGTTTTAGCTTGTTGCATCCGAGGAAGCTACTTTATACCTAGTCGGATCATTGGTCTATTTGGCTCAGGATTGTCTGCCCTGAATGGCAGCAGTTCTCCTGGTTTTGAGATGGAGGCTTTCCCAGCTCTACCTTATTAGTAGCTGCATGTATGACTATTGCCACTTTTTGGAAGGATCTTAAAGAAGCTAATTTAACAGCATGGTATAAAAGGGTTTAGCAGATGGCCGTAGCAGAGAAACTAGCCTGTAAGCTAAGAATAGCTAGAGGAAATAAATGCAGCTACATGCTTGGGAGAGTCGGCGGAGGCTTGATTGCTTATGCAAAAAATTCCAACAATAGAAGGAAAGTAATAGCATCAGAGAGTTGGAAGAGACTCTGAGGTTCATCTAGTCCAACCTCTGGAATGCAGGAATCTCAACTAGATCATCCATGTCTACCACCTCTTATGGGAGATTTCCACGATCAAACAGCTCTTGCTGTCAGAAAGTTCTTTCTGATGTTTAGTTGGAACCTCTTTTCTTGGAACTTGAATCCATTGGTTCGAGTTCTACCCTCCAGAGCAAGTAAAAACAAGCTTGCCCCATCCTCCATGTGACAGCCCTTGAGATATTTGAAGACGGCTATCATATTTCATCTCAACCTCGTCTTTTCCAGGCTGAACATACCCAACTCCCTCAATCGTTCATCATAAGGCTTGGTTTCAATACCCTTGATCATCTTGGTTGTCCTCTGCACACGTTCCAGCTTGTCAGCATCCCTCTTAAATTGTGGCACCCAGAGCTGGACACAGTACTTCAGGTGTAGTTTGACCAAGGCAGAATAGAGTAGCACTATTACCTCCCTTGATCTGGACACTATACTTCTGTTGATGCAGCCTAGAATAGCATTAGCTTTTTCTGCTGCTGCTGCATCACACAGTTGACTCATGTTAAGTTTGTGGTCTACTAAGACCCCTAGATCCTTTTCACACGTACTACTTACTAGCAACCCAGGTGCCCCTCATCTTATACATGTGCAACTGGTGCAGAACTTTACATTTGTCCCTTTTGAAATTCATTATGTTAGCTTGCGCCCAGTTCTCCAATCTGTTAAAGTCATTTTGAATCCTGATTCTGTCTTCAGTGGCATTGGCGACCCTCCCAGTTTAGTATCACCAGCAAATCTGACGAGCATCCCCTCAACACCTTCATCTAAGTCACTGATAAAGATGTTGAACAACAATGCGCCCAGGACAGAATCCTGCGGCAGAATCCTACTTTGTCACTTTTTCCCAGGAT